TCCTTTCCTTCTTTCCTCCTCTCCTTCGCTGTTTTCCGTTCCTTCTTTCTTCCTTTCTTTCTTTCCTCTCCTTCTTCCCTCCTTTCCCTCCTTTTCTTTCCTGCTTTCCGTTCCTTCTTTCCTCCTTTCCTTTCCTTTCCTTCTTTCCTTTCCTTTCTTTCCTTTCCTTTCCTTTCCTTCTTTCCTCCTCTGGGTGCTAGCAGGAGACTGTATGGTGGTGGTGGTGGGAACCGGCCTTCTGGACAGCCGAAGTGGGGGGGGGAGGATGCCATGCTAGGAAGAGACTCTATGGTGTGTGGGTGGGGAGAAACCAGCCTTCTGGACGGCAGAAGGGGAAAAAAAAAAAAGGACGCCGGGCTAGGAGGAGACTCTATGGTGGAGGACCTGGACTTCCAGTCAGCTCCAGAATGGAATGGGGACGGGACGGGGAGGGGGGGGGGGCTTCCGGTTAGGACCGGTGTGGCTCTTGGGGTATCTAAGATGGCCGACCCTTCCAGACAAAATGGCTGCCCTGCCTCCTCTCTGACCTGCTCCTTGCTTCCCTTTCAGGGGCCCATGGAGGACCAGCGAGGGGCCGAAGCCAAGGAAGACGGTGAGGGGCACCACAGGGGGACGCTTGGCCTCGGGGGAGTGGCTGTTGAAGCAGGGCATGGAATGGGACCTCGGAGGTCATCTAGTCTAGCCCCCTGCATGAGCACGAGACCGAATCCTAGAATCCTGGAAAGGAACCTCGGAGGCCTTCTAGCCCGACCCCTGGCTCGAGCAGGAGGACAAAATGAGGGAGGACCGCGGAGGTCATCTAGCCCAGCCCCCTGCCCAAAGCAGAAGACCCAATACCATTTCAGACCAAGTGCCTCTCCGGTCTCTTCTAAAAAGAGATGGGAGAGCCACAAATTCTAGTGGCAAGCTGTTCCACTGGTTAATTCTCACTATCTATCCATCCATCTATTTATATATCTATCTACTACCCTCTATCTTTGTCTATCGTCAAACTATCATCAATATCATCCATCCACCTACCTCTATCTATCTATCTATCATCTATCTATCTATCTATCTATCTATCTATCTATCTATCTATCTATCTATCTATCTATCTACTTATCTATCTATCTATACATCCATCCATCCATTTACTTACTTATCTATCTCTATCCATCTCTATCTCTATACATCTGTCTGTCTGTCTCTCTGTATATCCATCCATCCATCTATCCATCCATCCATCTATCTATCTATTTACTTACTTATCTATCTCTATCCATCTGTCTGTCTGTCTCTCTGTATATCTATCTATCTATCTATCTATCTATCTATCTATCATCTCTCTCTCTCCACCCGTTGAATCCATGCCCTGAATTCCATTCCAGCGGTGTAACTACACTCTGCCCTAACGCCGTCTCTCTGTCTTTTCAAACTCCCAGGGGACGATGCCGAATTCCGGCTCATCCTGGTTGGAAAGTCTGGCGGTGGGAAGAGTGCGACGGGCAACACCATCCTCGGCCGACCGGCGTTCAAGTCCCTGTTGGCGGCCAAGACCACCACGGTCGAGTGTCAAAGGGCGCAGGGAACCTGGAAGAGGAAGACGATTTCCGTCCTCGACACACCCGCTCTGTTCGACGCCGAAAAGACGGAGACCTCCCTGGAAAAGCATCTCGAAAGCTGCCGTCAGATGTGCTGCACCGGTCTCCACACCTTCATTTTGGTCACCCAGGTGGGGCGCTTCACTGCTGAAGACGTGGCCGCCGCCAAGCAGGTCCAGAAACTCTTCGGGGACAAATCCGCCTCCCGAACTATCATTCTGTTCACCTGCAAGGAGGACCTGGGAGGGGACGACCTGGAGACGTACGTCAGCGAGGCCAAGAACAAACACCTGTGTAAGCTGATGGAGAAGTGCAACCGTCGCTTGTGCGGATTCAACAACAAGGCCGAGGGAGGCGAGCGGGAGGAGCAGGTCGACAAGCTAATGAGGATGGTGGTGGAGATCACCAAGGAGAATCAAGGGGAGCCGTATGTCATCCCGGAAGGTCCCGAGAAATCAAACCAGCATTTATCTATCTTTATCTCTATCAATCTCTATCTCCATCTATTTATCTATCTATGTCTGTCTATATATCTATCCATCCATCCATTCATCCATCCACCTATCTCTTTATCTCTAAATCTCTCTCTCATCTCTATCCATCTCTGTGTATCTAGCTAACATATCTATCTCTATCCATCTATCTTTCTTTCTATCTTTCTATCTATCTCTATCAATCTCTGTCTCCATCGATCTATCTATGTCTGTCTGTCTCTATCTATGTATTTATGTATTATCTTTATCTCTTATCCATCTCTATTTATATCTGTCCGTCCATCCATCCATCCATCCATCCATCCATCTCTTTATCTCTATCTCTAATCTCTATCCATCTATTTATCTGTCTATCTAGCTAACATTGTATCTATGTATCTCTCTCTATCCAGCTATCTTTATCTATCTATATCATCTATCTGTCTTTATCAATTTATCTATATCTGTCTATCTAATCTATCTATCTATCTACCTACCTACCTACCTACCTACCTATCTACTTACTTATCTATATCTCTATCTGTTATGTCCCACCTTCCAAAATAAACAGATAAGGCTGAAAGCAGCA